ATGTCCTCTCTTTCGCATTCATACGCTCGCTGTGCCCCGACGGTGAGGTGAGAGAACGCAGACGCAGGCCGCGGAGACCTCAACGCACAGGCGCTACGAGAGATCTCGACCCAGCTAGGTAGCAAAGACGAGCAAACTGCATGAAACTGCAATTTGTGCTCCATTTAAGGCGCGAAATTTATGCAATAACAACACTAACAATCGAGGAATGTGGAATTTATTCACGGAAATCAGCTGCGTAGTACATTTTGTTTTGTTCGAAACTCGCACCCGTCCGTCTCCCACGCAGAAAAAAAATTAATCATAAGAACGGACTGCACATTATACAGCACCAATCCGGCGGCCTGCGGCGGGGAGAAAAAGAAAGAAATTATCAACGCGCTACTATTGTAAACGATTTCTAATCGTTGGTCATCCCGGCCGTGTCGCAAGCGAGGCAGACTTTGCGTCACGCGGTGGTCACTGCTGCTGCGCTGGCGTGGCGTGGCCGCCCAATACTATCACAGCCACTCGCATAAATCAGACTCGGGAGGCATGCACGCGGGCCACAAGGCCCCGCCCCACCGCGCCCCGCCTCGCCCCGCCCCAGGTGTCGCGCGCCCGGAGGAGCAGCCCCCCGCAGAGTTGTTGGGCGTCCCCGCGGGGCCAGACAGTAGCCGGGCGAAAGAGATACGCCATCGCCATAAAGACGAACGCGAGGCTGAACGTGTTCGGCTGGACAGGCGGGAGGCGACGATGCAGGGTGGGGCGGGGCGGGGCAGAGCGTCGCGGTGACAACGGGGAGGAGGAGGGCCTCCTACTCGACGTGGGCAGGTTGAGGAGGTCAGAGTTCGGTCTGCTGCAGAAGAGCGAGAGAGAGAGGGGGGAGAGGCATCCTCACGGGACGGGCCTGCCGGCACCGGCCGCACACCAGCTCCTTGCTCGATATTCAGGGTCAGGACCCAAGCCCCGCCGCGCCCCGCCACGCCCCAACACTCACCGCCCGCCACGCCCCGCCACGCCTCGCCGCGGATGCAGCGCGCGAGACAAAAGCGCGACCGATGGGCCGAGTTACGAGAGGTTATTATGATTCGGGTCATCAATGTGGATCATCTGAGATAGGGCGGCCGGGACGCGCGCGCGCGTGTGTGCATAACGCGACACGTAACTAAACGTCGACCTGCCAGTCATGCGAAAGTGGATCTAGTAGTAGCGAGTAGTAGAGTCGCTCTTCGGGGGAAAACACACAACTCGCTCAGGAGTGCGATTATTATTATTGCGAAGGCGAACGGCAACGAGACGGCGGCGGGGAGGTAAAAAAAAAAGAAACGGGATGAGAAAATGAGGATTCCCTGTGACGGAGCAGGAGCATCGCCTTGGGCTGGACATCCAACTAGTCCATCATGCAGGTGGACCGCACAAGGAGGCGGGCGACACGGGGAAGGTGAACAAAAAAAAAACAAACAAACAGCACGTTGAGCCGTTTCCAATTTGTACGAGGACAAGTCACATGGCGGACAAGGACGATGTTGGGGAGGGGGGCACAGTGGTCCGAAAGTACCCTTTTTCAAGGAAAAACACCCAGAATCCAACCTGTACGAGGGGGGTCGGACACCGCCTATTTCGACTCTTATATGTCTAAACTATTTAGCCATAAAAGGGTTTTTCCACTCGCCAAGCCGTTTAGGCTCTAGCGGCAGTCAAAGACGGCGGTTTTATTAATCTTGGTTTTTGCACTTTTGGCGGTGCATTAATGTCTGACCCTACTAAACGTTTTGACAATGCCCGTGGATGGAACGCGTTTTGTTTTAATGTCTTTGGACATCAGAGAACATATAGGAACCATCGATGCGTTCTGCCACCACTTCCTCGCCCGAGCAGTGGCTGGCTTATTTTACAATTTTGTTAGAAAGACTAAAACTTACAAGTTTTGAGATTCAAATCGCTCCGACCGATATCCGAAGGAGTTTGGGGTCGCTTAACCTTCGTCCATAGGTACTTCAAGAGGGGGAATCATAAAAAGTTGCGGCAGGTTGCGGGAAGACCCTCATCCAGGTGAATATGTCTGCCCCCTCGCCCCCTCCCCACGGCCCTACTGTTTGGGATGTGGTGGCAGAAGTACCCCATTACGAAGCTGCAATAAACTTCTTTTTATGCAAATGTGTCATTGAAACGAGATTGTAATCATATTTTGACCTAGTTTGCTGCACAGAGTTAAAAAGAAACTCAGAATCAGTGGAAATAGCCATTTTCCTTAAAAGTCCAATTTGCACCAAAACGTGACACCTGACGCAAAAATCAACGAAGTAAAATCGCTTTATTTTCAAGTTTTACGTTCGGAAACAACCGATTTTGTAAAGTTTATGCAGTTTTGTAGATTTTTCTTCGACTAAAAACGCCAAAAATTGAAATTTTTCGAAAAAAAAATTCGGAACCCAAATCACTTTTCTTTAAAAAAACTTAAGTCCAGACACATGCCCAGTTACGAATGAAAATGTCTATTTGGGGAGTTTTTCCTCGAAAAAGAGTACTTTCGGACCACTGTGGGGGGGGGGGGGGTCTGTTTGGCCTCGGGTTGCAGCCCATCGCGTCCGGAGGGGAGCGGGTCGCAGAAAGATCTCGCCTAAGACTAAGTCGAGCAAACTGCATTGAAATCGAATTTTAAGGATCAACTAAGGCGCGAAATTTTAAGCGCTAACAAATAACACTTACAATGACAGTGTTAACACTCACAATCAAGGAATGAAGAATTTATCCACCGAGGAAAACCGAATCGTAAGAACGAAGTGAAAATTATAGCGCACAAATTCTTCGGCGGAGGTAAAAAAAAAAGAAATGAGAAATTATCAACGCGCTAGTATTGTAAACGATTTCTAATCGTTGGTCATCCCGGCCGTGTCGCAAGCGAGGCAGACTTTGCGTCACGCGGTGGTCACTGCTGCTGCGCTGGCGTGGCGTGGCCGCCCAATACTATCACAGCCACTCGCATAAATCAGACTCGGGAGGCATGCACGCGGGCCACAAGGCCCCGCCCCACCGCGCCCCGCCTCGCCCCGCCCCAGGTGTCGCGCGCCCGGAGGAGCAGCCCCCCGCAGAGTTGTTGGGCGTCCCCGCGGGGCCAGACAGTAGCCGGGCGAAAGAGATACGCCATCGCCATAAAGACGAACGCGAGGCTGAACGTGTTCGGCTGGACAGGCGGGAGGCGACGATGCAGGGCGGGGCGGGGCGGGGCAGAGCGTCGCGGTGACAACGGGGAGGAGGAGGGCCTCCTACTCGACGTGGGCAGGTTGAGGAGGTCAGAGTTCGGTCTGCTGCAGAAGAGCGAGAGAGAGAGGGGGGAGAGGCATCCTCACGGGACGGGCCTGCCGGCACCGGCCGCACACCAGCTCCTTGCTCGATATTCAGGGTCAGGACCCAAGCCCCGCCGCGCCCCGCCACGCCCCAACACTCACCGCCCGCCACGCCCCGCCACGCCTCGCCGCGGATGCAGCGCGCGAGACAAAAGCGCGACCGATGGGCCGAGTTACGAGAGGTTATTATGATTCGGGTCATCAATGTGGATCATCTGAGATAGGGCGGCCGGGACGCGCGCGCGCGTGTGTGCATAACGCGACACGTAACTAAACGTCGACCTGCCAGTCATGCGAAAGTGGATCTAGTAGTAGCGAGTAGTAGAGTCGCTCTTCGGGGGAAAACACACAACTCGCTCAGGAGTGCGATTATTATTATTGCGAAGGCGAACGGCAACGAGACGGCGGCGGGGAGGTAAAAAAAAAAGAAACGGGATGAGAAAATGAGGATTCCCTGTGACGGAGCAGGAGCATCGCCTTGGGCTGGACATCCAACTAGTCCATCATGCAGGTGGACCGCACAAGGAGGCGGGCGACACGGGGAAGGTGAACAAAAAAAAAACAAACAAACAGCACGTTGAGCCGTTTCCAATTTGTACGAGGACAAGTCACATGGCGGACAAGGACGATGTTGGGGGAGGGAGGAGGGGGACTCGGGTTGCAGCCCATCGCGTCCGGAGGGGAGCGGGTCGCAGGGCCGGGCCGGACCCCCGGCGGCGGTGTCAGAGGCATAACCGTGGCATAAGTTAGTCTGGCGGCCCACCCCGCCCCGCCACCGCAGTCCCGTCCCGACCGAGGGGGTTTATCTGGACCGGGCGGGAGGAGAGGTGGGCGGGATGGTGCCTCTCATCCGCCGTGGCCCTGAACTCCATACGTATGTACCGGGCGCGGTTGCGCAAGGAACGGGACCCCGCCCCGCCCGCCCCGCTGACCCGTTGAGCCCTTTTCGCGACGGATAACCCAGACCGGACAATGATGGTAAGCAGAGGGCCATGCGCCGAGCTGGTCCTGGGCGCGGGCAAACGAGCCCCGGGTGCCAGTGATGGTTTCCCAGTTGTAAATCAATAAGGATCTGTCCTCTGGCCCGCCCCGCCCGGTCCCGCTCCGCAGAACCTTGGCCCACACCGCATATAGCGCGCTGCTGTCCAGAGCGGAAGGACGCGTAGGCCGTTTTTTTTCCTTCCTTTTAATTTTATGAGGTGAGCATCATCGGATGAGCTCGCAAAAAAGAAAACCTGACCATTTGCACCAGCAAAGCACTTCCGTTTCGTTCCTTGGCTCGTCGATCCATGATCACTTCATAGCTCCCTTATAGAACTAACATTATTTGGCTATTAATTCACAGACATGAAGAGATTGCTAGTATTTCAACATGGGTGTAAAGAAGTCTTTTTCACTTTTTAGAAAAATCTAGCAAATGAAGCTGAATTGCTTTAACACTTTAAAATTCCCACGTGGACAGTCATGCTATTACGAGAACACCACCCCGCGAAATTGTTCTGCGACTCCAAAGGTCTTAAAACATATATTATAGTAATTCTACATTTTACACACAAATTTCAGCACTCAACACTGCTTATGATATTCCAAAATAAAAATAAAATTCCAAAGTTAATAATTTGAAAATACTTGCGGAGGAAGGATTGGTCATGGTAGACGGAAAAATGTACTTGAGACAACTCTAGAATTAATTGAAAATATTCAACCCCCAAAACTAAAAATAGCCAGACAATGACAGAGACTACAAACACATATCTTTAATGCATTTGCAAAGTCAACCTCCCTTGTTTTCAAACTTTGAAAGTTTGAAATTCGCTCCTGCAGGAGTCGATCACTCACCGGCACACAGGGTAATCCTCATGGCTGTTGGGCGGCCGCTCGTGGCGGCTAGTCGCCCTGGGCGGATCACAGACACCAGGGGAGGTCCTCTCGGGACCGGGCACGAGTCGCGAATGCCAGGCGGGCCCGGCAGCAGGCTCCCAGCTACACTCTTTCACTGATCACTAACACCACTGCAACATGTCACACACACGGGCACGCACACTGCCGCACACGCACACTACCGCTGCTGACGCACTACACACAAGTCACCTCCTCGGTCCCCCTGGTGTGGATCTTATATCGAGGCGGCAGGCCCCCGGTCCCCTCCACGCCCCACAGCGCCCCTCCCGCGGCCCCAGGGGGGGACTCGGCCCGGGCCCCGCGACCGTGTCCTTGGCGAGCGGGGTCCCCATTGGTCGGCGACGACCCCGCGCCCGCGCCGCCGGCCGGCCGGCCGGAGGGAAGCCACGAGGGCAGCGGCCCGGCGGATCCACCACCCGCTGCAGCAGATCTGCACACAGGAGACAAATACGTAAACGCCTCGCGACATCCTCTTTTGTTTTTGTTTTTTTCGTGGAAAAGCTAAAGCCTTGCCGTCTGGCTGTCCGCAGGGGGTGACTGTCGCGCGAGACACGTCCGTCCGTCCGTCCTGTCCGTCGCCGCCGGCCGGGTGGTGGTGGACGTCATTCCCCACGATGACGACTGCCGCCGCCATGAGCCATGAGGCGGAGCCAGGCCAAAAGGCAAAGTGATTTTCCCGGAATATCCCACCCCGGAGCGCGCGCCAGCTCACCCGTCCTGTTGCGGAACCGGGTGGCAATAATAGGGGACGGAAACGGGACTGCAACAGCGGCCGAGCCGCACATCACGCATCAAGCATATGGGAATTGTTGTTTTCAGTCATCTGTTTCACCGTACGTGTGGTGTCTAATGCAAGACGGTGGTGACCGTCAGTCTTCTAGTTCCGATTGGTCGTCCGCGGCCGTATGTAAATATGAAGCGTTGGACGGGTACAGTACTGAGTGTTCGTTGAATTTGAAACGCGTCTATAAGTTGGCTACTACACCCAAAAGAACAGAACTGTTAAAAAAAAACCATTTACATGACTAGTGCACTTGTGTTCTTAATATTAGTACATTTTTCAAGCACGTTATTTTTTGAGTGTATCGCACTTTTTTCTTAAGTAGATTGCTTTCAAAACAAATACCAGGAGGTCTGTGGATGACTCATGCCGTGCACTTTCGTCTGTCTGCAACTCTACCATCATGGAATTATTGTGGCCATCCCATGTTCTAAAATTTCAATCCGTTTATTTCGACAGCCCGCGCGGAAAATATGTGTCTGAAGAACTAAAACTAATAACGATGCGACACAGTTAAGAAAAATCTTGACGGGGAGAAAGATAAACACGGGACACAATCCGCGCGCCGCTTTTCTCATTTGCTAAGAGGCTCGGCTCTCTGTCTCCGCCCGTTGCGCAAAAGTGCAGAAGGTGGAGG